GCTACAAACCACATTCCAGAGTCTGTTGTTTTAGATAAGAAAAATGAAAGCAAAGAGGAGGAATTCAATTTAACATCATCGTTTGCCTAATTCTTCGCATTGTAGCAACAACCGCGGCGTGCCAACTTGAAGAGACGTTCTCCCAACTCCGTTAACGAATTCATTATACCAATTAGATAGCAGTTAAGCCTTAAGTATTTGTTCTATTCAACCATTTCCTAAACATTGCAATCAGTTAAATCGTATGATTAACCCCGAAACGGGGCATCTCAGAGCCCGTATTCGTGCATAAAACAACATTCCAGAGCCCATTTGTCTAAATAAGCAAAACGAGAGCGAAGTGGACAATTTCAGTTTAACATTGTCGTTGGCCACATTTTTTGCATTTAGGCGACAACCGTAGTGGGCAAATTTGAAAGAAACCTTTCTAAAAATTTTGAATGATGATTTATGCATATTAATTAGGCCTTAAATTAATAGACATGCGATCAGGGTTCGTCCCATACAACAACATGGCAAATATTATCATCATTTGATTCGCAATGTTCACTCGAAAACGGTGCATCGCAGAGCTAATTGTCCTGCAAGAAACAAACTAATTAGCCCATTTGCTTAAATAAGCAAAAGGAGAGCGAATTAGACGATTTCAATTTAACAGTATAGTTTGTCAAATACTTCGCTTTGTAGCGACACCCGCGGTGTACAAATTCAATCAAAAACGTTTCTACAACTTTGAGCACTGCTTTATACTAACGAGGCAACAAAAGTAGTAGTTCTGCGTTATGTATTTATTTCATTCAGATTGTAAATACTGCAATCATAATATCCGCAAGCTTTATTCTGAAACGGTGCATCGCTAAGCCCGTATTCGTGTGTAAAGCAACATTCCATAGCCCATTCGTCTAAATAAGCAAAAGCAGAGGGGAGTGGACGATTTCAATTTAGCAGTGACGTTTGCCTAAGTTTTCGCATATTGTCGATATACGCGGCGTGCTTCTTTAAAGAAAAATGTTCCGAAAATAGTGTACAATGACCTTTTGCGATAACAAGGCCCATAAAAAAGTATTATCCGTCTGTATACGTTTTGTTCAACCATTTAACAAACATTGTTATAATTTGAAACGCATGCTTTACTCGGAAATGTTGCATCGCAGTGCCAGTATCCGTGCATGTAAAAGCTTTCAGGGCCCATTTGTTTACCATAGGCAAACGCAAAACGCTGTAGAGAAAGTAAAGTTACCCAGGTGTTGGACTCTTTTTTCGCATTTCCTCTACACCCGCGGCGTGCAAAACTGACGGAAACCTCTTTCTCAGTATTTTGAACCTTTTATTTCCTCAATGTTGCCTGGGCCCTGAAAATAATAGATTTGCACAAACCTCTGCCTTCCAATCAACCGTTTAAGAGATATTGCGGTTATTTTAATCACAAGCGTTATTCAGAAACGGTGCATCGAAGAGCCAGTATTCGTGCATCAAACAACTTCCACCATATGCAAACGCAGGACACTGTTGTGGAATTCAATTTATCAGTGTCGCTGGTCTCATTTCTCGCGTTTTAACGACATCCGCAGCGTGACAATTTGACGAAAATTTTACTTAAAAATTTGAACCCTTTTTGCTCTCACTACGCTGTTTAGGATATGATAAGAAGTTATGCGAATTCTTTACATAGATCAACCTTTTAGTCGATATTGCGATCAGGTCGGAACGGGCTGAGGTTTTGTCGTCCACAATGTATGCATAAAACAGCCGTCATAAAAAAACAACTGTTAAACAGTGATGGCCTACATGCTGTTTTGCCACACCGACAGATGGAGCATGGAAGTGCGGGAGAAACCTATCGAGCGAATACTCAGAATGGAAGCAAGTCCTCTAGGGACGGTACTATGATTGGCCGTATTACTTTAATTGGACCTCTTGCTAAATCTGCATTTGTTAGTGTTCCCATTTTCTTAATCACTCTGATATCTTCAGACTACCAATCAGTGTAAAAACTCATGTGGGATTCGTTATACAAAACAAGCACAATTAATTATTTTATGCGATCTTGTTGTACAGCTTGAACAGACCACTCAGTTGGACTGTGCCTCGAAACATCGAGGAATAAATCGTTTATTTCTTCATTTGGATCGCATGCGTTACTCGGAAATGGTGCATCGTATAGCCACTAGTTAAGCATAAAACAACTTTCCAGAACCAATTTCTCCACCAAATGAAAACGTCGAGCACTGTAGAAGCTTTCTAATTAACAGTGTTACCACTCGGTCCGTACTGAACCACGATTCTCAGTAAAACGCAATATTCGACCCATAGTACACGGCAGTAGAATAATAATCATTACCATATTTATATTTCTCCGGGTGCGGGAAACTATCTGTAGCGGCACAGATCAATTTGTACAGAAGTATCCATGCTCTTGCATGGATGACATGCATTGGTGGAACATTGGGGTATGCGTTTTATGTAGTAAGGTTCTTGTGGATGGTGGAGGCGAAAGTCCATTTATAAGACAGTGTTTAGATGTTTTTGGGCCCCATTCGGAATAGCCCATCGAGGGATTTTACCCATGTGAGTATACTGGTTATCATATTTAGATCAAGGCAACTACTGGACAGTGTGCTTCTGAATGTTGTCACTGTCACATGACCTCGGCGTTTTTGGTAGTTTATATTGTTGTGCCTCTTTCATTTTACTTGACTTATTCTACCACACTTAGCGTGGAGTGCAAACACAGTTTGAGTAGGCCAAATCTATCCTGACCACATGGGTGCATCTCGATTCGCCACAACTATCGGTAAGGGATTACTTTCAGTGACGACTGTTGTTGCAACCGAAAACAACACCTGCCTGGTCACGTGAGTGGTCCTTATGTACTTTATCACAGTCGCGTAGTTCACCTCGGTTATCGTAAGCGGGTTTGTCACGAGAATGACGCAAACGCACGCACAGTTTCGCCTCTTTATCCATTGACGGTGGTTCGAGTAAGAATAGGCTCTTTAATGTGACTTGTACCGGGTGGATGTCAGTGGCTGAGTGTTACCAATGGGTGAAGTTAAGCAAAAGCAACAAATTTTGTTATGGACTGCTTAGAGGTGATCCAGTAGGAATAACATTTGGATAATTAGAAAACGTGGAGAATCCTTCATTCAACGCAACAGAGTTGTTAAAGTAAAACAAGGTTTTACGCCTAACGTTGACCAAGAGAAGTGCTAAGAAATTGGGTTGCAGGAATCATGATCCGTAGGAAATTGTTGCGTAAAAAGGTCCCCACTGAATACGAGAGTTTAGTACGATTCGAGCGAGTCTAAGATAACTGCGCGGCGTGAATATGGAGCAGGGAAAATCCTTGGCAAAGCAGGGTGCACTTGTTACCGACTAACGCATACACGTCGGCCATAACTACACGTAACTGAGCCAACGAGGACATGAGAACATACAGTTATGTTCGATTTATTGTCCAACATCAGTAGTTGTACGATGATAGCGATTTGAGAGGAAAGCAATCAAGTTCCGTCATGGCAATGTGCACACAGAGGTCCTCATCCCACTCTAAAGTAGGTTAAGCACGTTGTAGACAATGCGCTGCGCTAAATATCGTTCCCTTCCTTATGTTACTGACACTGATTCCGACATTAAGCGGCAGCTTGCACTGCGCCCCTAAGAGAGAGGGAGAGTCATCGAAATAGCCTGAGACGTCATCAAAGTGATGCAACCAATCGGTCTCTTGCAGACAGCGTTTTGGAATACCAAATTAAGATTGCTAACCCTGATTCTCGGCGCTCACGCATCCCCTCGCCTTAAACAGACATCTCGTTTGTCCGCTCAAGCCCTATTCGTGAGACCATTATTCACAGCGGATTTGATAGCGCTCCTTACTCACTTCTGTGTTGACCGTATTTCGGACATGTCTACTGCCACATATGTGTTCGTCTTGATTCCGGAACTGTGCGGACTTCGCCTTGTCTCATCGCCACACACTTTGTGATCTGGACGGGTTCGTGAACCGGCATCTGCTTCCACCCCCTTGATTGTTCAATGCCAGCGCGCAGACTTATTGCGCACCTAGACGAGCGGATTGAAGAGGTCCGTGTAGCAGGGTATCAACCACCGCACATTTGGGGTGTCGCCTTCATAGCGTGGGCCTGGCTTCAGTTTTGCTACCTTTCCAAAAGCGCGACCGAGCTGAATACAGGTTCAACTGCCATGCCGACATACTAGTCCGAGTGCTGTTAGCTGATTTGGGATAAGATACATTGAACGGGATGCATTCTTAAATACGTGTGCACAAAGATGATGCAATTTGAATCCCTCATGTGTACCGGTACGGAGCATTTCGACTCTACCATGGAGGAAATATGTTGTGCAAAAGTGCGGATTAACTTGCGAAACAAAATGGAATAAGCAACAATACCTTTAGAAATTGCTACATATGCGCCTACCAAAGACGGCGTATTATGCTTACAGGACCTAGCACGGCGCAATTTATGTTAGGCAGCCAGTGAATCGGCTAGGCTGCGTGCTGTTGGTCCTCAGATTCTTGCAACTTGAGTTTCATGTAACCCTAAACTCAGAAGAATGTAGAACCATTCTGCCCAACCGCCCCAGCAGTGATTGCCGTTGTCTCATAGTAGAACTTCCTATTTAAATTATGGCTGGTGTAGTGTTTGTTATGATGGAAGGTAGTGGAAGCTGTTTCGCAGGCGCAGTCTTATCTTCAAATGTTATCTGGCTCTGTGCAGTCTTGTGATACTAGTAAGATGCAAATAATTATATCCTAAATTCCTCACAAGCAACGGGGCACCTATACAGAGTTCTAATGCACTACTGCAGTTATTGTTACTGATCTAACTAGCACAGTAAACTGAACGTTGTCTTGTGCAAACTGAACGAGAGCAGTTGCATCAAACATAGCCTGAGGTGGTCATCTGTTTCGGTAGACCAAAGCCACCGCGCGCATAGCTCATGAGGAGGAGGGCACCAGGATAGAAGCAAAAGCAAGTAAGAAACAACTGTGTTTAATGGTAATAGTGTTCGTTCAAAATCAGGATTGTAAAAATTGAGGTCGATGAGGGCGAAAACAACTCGAGGGGTAGTGTGAGAAAAATGTGCTGCACATTACATAGGTAAACGGCGATTCATTCACAAGTCAAATGATGCCATGGGGGCATGATGGCTTTCCAGTCTCATGTGTTGTATGCAGGCACACGCATCAAGAACTAAATATGTGTATCACAAGCCCAAAGGTAGGCGGAGGGCAATCGACAAGAATAGTACCAATTGCGCTTGTCGCAGCGTGCTAAAGTGATACAGCGCAGTGAGAAGTACGACGCTCAAATTAAAAAATCTGTGCAAGGGTGAAGAATCAGTTTTGTCGCATAGACATCAGCATTCTCGTCGCTAGCATAGAGCTCAAATGTGATATGTGCGCCCACGGATGCAGGAAGTCGGTGCATCATGGTTCGCGTGTCAGAAAAACGTCACTCGCCACAGAGATCAAAGTCATGGAGTGCACCGTTCATATGACCCCAAAATGATAGTTTACGCACTAGCGTCACATCACGGAAGTGACAGGAGCATGAACTTGAAGAGAGGACGATCAAAAGTCGTGTGCAAAATATGAGAGGAATTCATAAAGATCAATCAATAAACACGATGGGGTGGAAAAATCCCGCTAGCTCAGGACCCGATGGAACATGCGAATCTGTATGGGATAAGTTGGGCGCAGACGGTGCAGTCACCGGTGGAGGGTTTCTAGTGTAGTTGCGAGCAGATGCATGCGCCTCTGAGGTCGACCAACTCAAGACTGTGTTCATCACAGGGGTGGATGGAGTGGAAACTGACGGAGACTGATGAATCAAGTGAGACTCGCGCACTGACCGGGAATTAGGTCGGGTGGTAGTCAAACTAGTGGGCCGGATGGAGGGGGAAGCGGAGGTGCTGGAGACTCGAGTCACGTTTCGCGAAGTGGCTCGGGAGCCGAAAGAGATCAAAGAAGAAGGTATAATATATACTCCGATACTAGAGACGGCTGAATTTGGGAATGGATGGGGCAGGGATGTGGTGCCACCGTTGTTGGCATTCTCGAAAGCTGTGCTGACACTGAACGATTGGACCTCTGTCACTGCGAGTCGGGTCCGGGGAGAAGAAGCAAGTGCTGAGGTTCCCGCTGAGGTGGACGAATGCTGTGGTTGAGTATACACATTGGTAGGATCAAATAAACGCCGAGTGGCTTGAACATTAGAGTCGACTGCACTGCGACTCTCCGTGAAGGAGACTGAGTTGTCGAGTCGACCTAAACGATCGACAAGCCCTTCGTTGCTCCAACAATCGGAGATCTGAATGTCGGATAGCGCGAAATGGCGAGAATGCGAACTGTTACGTTCGTCCACAAGGGATTTCTGCAGGAACTCAAGCGCGCTATCCAAAATCGGGTTGGCAGGTTGGTGTTGATGAACTGAAGTGAAAAGGACAGCAAGAATAAACTATGATAACGCACGCTAGCCTATGCGGTAGTAAAAACAAATGTGATGAATGGGTTTAAACAAATTTTGGTAAACTCTGTAGGCCAAGAGAAGTGGGCGTGTTAGAGTGTGAAAGTGAACCAATGCTTACATACTGCTCGGTAGTCTGATTCGTGGTTGCATTCTTGCGTGTACATGCTTCAATCACTTTTGGGAACTGGGAATATCAGCCTAGCAGCAAACTACAAAATACAGCGGGGTCACCGTGATGGAAGGAAAGGAAGACATGAACACACGTCGAAATAACTCGAGCAGTAATGTCTACGAGGCATACCTCACATGTGGCAAGGAGTGGGTGGGGCGGAGATACCCAGGAGCAGATTGACGACAGACCCCCGGATCTTCCATACTTTCAGCGTACGATCAATAACAATGCACTTGGCGGGAGGACAAACCACACGGCGTTGTATTTGGCCTTCTGCTAAATCACTTGCAATGAGCAGCTCGCGTTCATCAGATTGAGACTTATAACTGTTACTATGACATGTCAAGCATAGGCAAGCAAACTGGTCGCTCCTCCTCTAAATCATAGCTGACAAGGTGAGTGTCCATCGATTCGTCTTATTGCGAGGGCACAGTACCTTAGCCGAATCCGTGCGTTGACTAGTAACCGTGCAATAAGCGTCATGTTCGTGTGGTATCTAATTATCAAGCTTCTTAGACATTTCAGCCTTCCGTAAATGTTTGAAAAGCGCAACGTGAAATACTGATAAGTCAAAAACAAGACCTCGAAAGGTTTTACGCCGATCCGCTTCAAATACGATCCTTAATTGATCGCGGCTGCCTTGCCGAACAAAGTCTACGTTGTGTCAGTTGGGTGTTTGGGTTTACCCCATCACAGCATATGGTTCGGGGGGAGTGCTCCATGGTGTGGTGGGGTTTTCGCCTGGCAAGCGTTCTCCCTATAAAAACTATATGTTCGTTTAACAACGTTGCGACATGGCGAACATGACTCACTACTAAATAAAGTCACTGCCCATTGCTTCACTCGGGTGCAGCACGACATTCCAGCAAAACGATGACGAAATTATGGGGAGGATTGGGTCCTCGCTTGGCAACCGACCATATGAAAGGCGCGATTCCCTGAATTCGCTCCGCTGCCTTGCGTGTAGGTTATTCAGTAAAATGCGCCGGGAAGTCTTCACAAAGTTACACCGTACCTCGGCTTGGGTCACCAGCATAATTAGACACGTCAGCTAGAGGGGGGAAGACCACAGCTATTGAGCCGCAATACATTAGAAAAGAAAATAATGCAACCAAGGCACGCCGGCTGAGTTAGCAGTGACAAATGGACATCGTCCCAGAGAGCTAACAGCCGACTATGGTGCCGTAAAAAGAAGTATTATATTATGCATGTGAATTGAAGTCGTGGTTGGAGGGGGGAGGGACGCAGAGCACGAAAGTCACTGAGGTCGACTACTAGTCATGTCAACAAGTGAATCCAGTCGAACGTGTTCATAGTCTTTCGGACCCCAGCCAGGGAGACAAGGCCAACTTCAAACTAAGGGACTTCATTCCTCTTGACCAAGTAATAGCTTGGCCACCACTCCTCTTCTTCCATCCACAACCCCGGCGCGCAGACAATGCACGTAGCGGGAGTAGGTGGGTTGGCATGCGCAACATGTGGTCCAACCATTGGAGCCTGATGCGTGATTTGATGGCTCTGAACGGTTCACTCGCTCTTATTGCCCTAAATACGCGACGCCGAACACGCTCATTGCTCACACGGTGTTCCCAACAGATATGAGCCAAACTGCGAAGGCACCGGTGGTCGAAGGTAACTAGTATCTTTGCGTCTGCTGATTAATTGGGTCAACTTTCACAACCGTACAACAGGGTCAAACGTACGGCTGCATTGTACACTCTCAGAGAGAGTGATGTCACGCGGACACCACAGGTAGCGGAGTTTGGCAAAAGCACCAAAGCTCTCGCTATACGGTCCGCGATCTCATCTTCAATGCCATGGCCAGCCCAGAGACTTAAATTTATGGACGACTTCTGGCAGATCATCACCAACAGTTAGCGAAGGAGTGGGTCCCTGCCAAACTCGAAGGGAAAGTTTGAACTTCGAGGGAGCAAAGCATAGCCCGAAACGGCTGACAGCCAGTGCTAATCTGTTTAGTGCTGTTTGGAACGTTTGTGAGTTGTCACAGATAAGGGCAATGTTGTCAGCATACTCTAAGAAGTTTCCACTAGAGAGCATATTTATACCTTCTAAGCAGTACCTGACGAAAGCCGTTTCTATGACTTCGTCAATGGCGAAGTTAAGGGTGAAAGGTGACAGAGAGCAACATAATTCCACACCGCTGGAGATAGTGAAGGGCAACGAAAACTTGCCGTAAACCCTCACTCTACCAGAACTATGCGCGTACAGCGCTCTTATGACATTCACATATACATTGGGCACACATTTCCTAAGTAGACAGTCCCAAAGTGCAGGACGATCAACCGAATCAAAGGCCCCTTTAATGTCCAGGAACACGACTATGGTGAGCTGCTAATATATGCGACGGCGCTCCAACAACTGACGCAAAGTGAATATGTGATGGATGCAGCCTCGACGTCGACGAAACCCGGCTTCCTCCTCACGAATTTGGCCTTCACGAGGCCTAATCAACCTGTGAAGGATGACAGAGGCAAGTAATTTGGAGATCAGAGTGATACTTTTATGGTTGCCGCGCTCCCAACGTGAGCCTCCGTTGAAGATCGGACAATAACGGAGCGGCTCCAGTTGGTTGGGACAGTTTCCTGCTCCCACAGATTCACTGGTAAATCGTATAAATCGGCAACAAGAGCAGGGCCCCCGAATATAAGAGGGCTGGATGAAGTCCATCTGTCCCGGCGATCTTGATCAATTTCACTGTCTGATCTCACGTTCGATTTCTGTGCGTGAGGGGGGAGCCAGGGCGATCATTGGCCCATGGAGAAGCTTGCAACTTTGATTGATGGAACTGCTTCACCAAGTGTTCGGGTAAACGCCCGAAGCGCTTTGACAAGTTGTGGATAGGCTGCCCACTCTCCTTGCACATGGTATCACTAACACCAGGTCTCCCACTGCCCGTTTCTCGTATCAGACGGAACAACTTACGATGGTTACAAAGGGCAGCGACTGTCTTTATTTGCGATGAGACCACCACGCATCTCTCTCTCTTTAGACTAGCACGCAGTTTCACCCTGGTATCTTTGCGAGTCTTACTGTATTCGCTTCCAGCCAGAACAGGTCGGCGAGCATCCATAAGTTCGAGAGACTGCTAGAAATCCCATGTCCAGGTTGGCGATTTGATTTGCTAATAACGTGATCATCAACTGTGTTCAGAAAGCTGTTACCCAGTTCAGATGCCAGCGTACTTGGATACGCATGCAGAACATCTGACTTCTCCAGCTGGCAAGCGTTAATGCGCTCATAGCGCCGTTGAAGACGTCCGCCAAAACGCACCCGACGTTTGGCGCAAACAAGTGCGTGGTCAGAGTTCACGCTCGTAGGGCAAATCGAGCGACACTTTCGAACACAGCCCCTCCAGCGGTAACTAACCGCGACGTCATCAATTTGATTTCACGGTTGGTCCGAGTTTGATGGGCGCCAAGTCATCCTCCGGCGGGTGCTGTGTCGGAAGTTAGTGTTCGCGATAAACAGACAAGCATCTTCACACAGGTGCACCAACCGCCCACCGTTATCATTACGGGAGTCTACACTGTGTTGGCCGGTCAGATGAAGCCCAATAGTGGACAGTCTACCAACTTGGGTGTTCAAAGCACCAGCCAGCAAAACAGTACCTGTAATCTTTCTGTAACGGAGGAGCGCGTTCAGTTGGTGATATAATTCATCTTTTACCGAGTCAGCGCGTAGGCCGCAATGACAAACCAGCATAGTTTATCCAGACGAGATTTTGAGGCTCTGAGCGATCCAGACAATCAGACAGCGCAGATCCGGCTGTTCATTGGGATCCAATCAAGCAGGGCAAATTCAGCCCGGGAGATACCACCAATGACCACATCGGGTTGACTGGCATTTGGAGTTGTCATCTCCTGGCAAGCGCAATGAGAAAATACCGCCAGTGTCGCATGTTGGGGATCGCAGGGTAATCACAGAACTCGAATCCTGCAGGTGAGTTGCTGATAAGCAGCAGATATCGATTGGTAGGGTCTCTAATGTTCGGGCAAGCGCTGCCTGTGGGTGAATCTGCAACAAAGTGCGCATGTTGAAGCATGACAGTCCTAGGGAGGATCGAGGGCTCCAGATGGAATAAGGTGAACTGACGCTGTCCTATTGGCTGGGCATGGACTTGTCGACTGGACTGGAGCGACGACTTGCGACTACGCGTGTACTGAAATTACAAGATAAACGATTACTGAACCAAGATGGAGAGGGCCGAGAATTGGGGGTTAAAATATGGGAATAAAAGTGAAGTTGGAACGGGATGATAAGGATGAAAAGTGCAAGAGGAGGGATAAGAAAACGGGAAGGTTTGAGCAGTAGCATCTTCACCCCTATCCAACCTGCTCTATGTAGCAGGTAGGGCGCCGTCTCTTATATTTCGTGACGATCAGAGCATCAAGAAATCGTTCGAATGTTCATTGTATTGTATCATCAGAGTAATCCAACTTCGCGACTGTCGCCAGGGAGAAGTGCAACATCGCAATTTTGGGCACCTTCCAATGCATGCTGAACGAATCCTCGGTGGCAAAAATGAAAAGAGCAATCTTGGTGAAGGCCTCTGATGACAGCAAACGAAGTGTCTGCCTTAAGCTCAGAGTTTGTCTGAAGTGTGGCTGTAAAGTTCGTTCATGATGGAGGTGGCTCCTCCCAACCCTGGCACCCCATAGGGGATTTCGACAACCTGACTCGAGCCTCGAGCCAAGTGGACTGGTTTCTACGTCTCTTAAATGTCGGAAGGTCGGACCGGTTAAGCCACATTGGTTCGACAAGGAATAT